TAGGAGATATAACGACTCCGACAATGATGGATTCGCTGAAAGGCTTGTTAGCCGATTGGCATAAAAATGGGTTGTCCATTGGCAGGTTAGTTTCAATCTCCCCCCAAACTGGGCTGACAAGAAGTGTGGTGAGGACTGTCATGGTTGTCAAACAAGAGTTGGACAGTTTGAGGAAGCAAAAAGAGAAGGAATCGCACGGACATGGAGAAGGAGAGGAAATGGTGAAGAAATCCACTGGTGTGATGTCAATTTTGGATCAGGTGAGTTCTTCATCATGGGTCTTTCCGTCAACTTGAGTCAAAGACTAATAGAACTAGTTACTGGGATTCATTGCACCCCATAATGTGGGAGATGCATCATCTAAACGACCAGAGATACCTACCAAGAAAGAAGACCCACCTCTTCAGACAAATGCGCCCTCTCGTCCTGACCGGTCTGAAAGGAGAGGAGGATCAGATACGTCGGGAAGACCACCACGTTCAGCTCATCCTGATCAATCGTATCTAGAAGAGCAAATGAAAAGGCCGGAATACTGTGGTGGGCAGCAGACAAAGAGATCACATCCGGCCGTTGCTGAAGAAGAGACAAGGGGGGAGAAAAGGGGAAGAAGATTGTCAGAAGTGGCACACAAGCTGGGCGACAAAATACACACAGTCCTGATGGGTCCAGACCAAGACAAATCTTCAAATACGGAAAAGAAGTCAAAAGGTCATGTGTCAAAGAATCCCAATATCCTACGGCCGGTTTCAAATCTTGGCCTACAAAGGATCTCTCATGTTGAAGTCAAAGCTCCATCTCCTATCAAATTCCTCTCATCGACTGAAGCATCACTTCGTTCTTCTTCACACCACTCATCATCAAACAAATCTCCAGCGCCAGTGAAAGTTATCCTCCCAAATGAAAATGCAGCAGAGCATCACCATCAGTACCCTCTACCCAGTCTGACAGATCAATTTCTTCATTCCTCACCTAGACCTCACCCAGCTCATCAGGATTGGGCCCCTTTATCACCCATTCGTGTATCTACAGAGCGACGACCGATCAAAAATAGACGGAAATCGGATTCCACTGCTTCGGTGTACTCACAAGATTCCGCTTCTTACTCGGACAAACCTAGAGGAAGGGATAGACAGTCAAGTTCTGCATCAAGCGGGACAATTGAATCAGATTTGGAAGCACAGGAGCTTTTGGCTAAGGCGGACAGTGGACCCTTACCTGTGCGTAGAGTAGAAAGTCATGAGCATGGAAATAGGAAACATAAACCAGGTAGAGAAGAAGTTTGGGCTGCAGAGGATGTGCTGGGTCTGAGAAAGGTTCATAGGAAATGATGAAAGTGCTACCTCCTGTGCTTGGGAATCAATGATCTTCACAATACTGTAGTCATGTCCCATGACCTGATGGTTGCTAGATTATGAAGTTATTGACTGCTCTCCAAAAGTCCAGATACCATTAGTCTCAATGAACTCCTAATAGCCAGCAAGATTGGTATTCAACCACTTCTTCATTGTTTGCTGATAATTAGATGGTAATACAGAGGGGGAAAAGGGCATGCATCAATTCTACATGTCTCTATACTTATCACATTCCACTCACACGCATAAAACCAGAGACGATCGAATAAAGTTCATCTGATAAGTTGAACGGAGAAATATTCGACGGAAGGGGTAATTCTAACGGCGGTTCGGCTGTCCTGGCCCGATTCTATCGGCTAACATTCATGACCACCACTAAGAGGTCCTGCAGTGACCAGTATGGAAATTCCTGATAGTCAATTGACCAGAAAACCCTTGACGTTGATCCACACGTAAAGGTTGTTATCTCTGCCCTTGGTCAGGTACAAATAGACTGTTCATCTCAAGAAAGTGACTGACAATTCTACAGATTGGAAAACATTGGAAGGGATAGGGGGTGGAGGGCTAAAGTAATGAGGAGAGGGGGCGAGAACGAGTGCACCCCTCGCAAGCTGATCGACTTGATAGAAGTGGTTGACATGACGAGTTCTCAGGAATAGACATGACGGAGAAGATGAGGAGTGAATGTCCGAAGTGACGGGTGGAGCGCGTGAGAATGAGTACACCGCTTGGAAGCGATGCGAATTGAAGGAAAGTGATGCATATGACAACTACACCGATCAGAAAACAACGGAAGGGATAGGGAGTGGGAAGGAAATATCATGACGATGATCCGTCCGGTCTGCACCTCTTCCTCCTATTGACACCCTTTCAATTAATGGCTGTACAACCACAAAAGATAAGTCATCACTGAGGTGAAGACATCACTGTCAGTTCTCTTGTCTCCCTTCTTCTCCTGGAAGGTCATGCATAGCCCTCCACCTCCTTGTCAAGTACAAAAAACTCTGTTCCAACAAGAGGAGACCAGTCCATTTCATCACCACAACTTTCAATCTCTGATTCGCTCGTGATCCTCTCACCGAGGTCGTTCATATATACACACACATACACCAATATCCAAATTTGAGTTCAATGAGTGAAGCACACATTGTATGGAGAGACTCAAGCTCCGACAAGGGCAAGATTGCAACTAGCAGCATCGTAGAGGGATTCAAAGAGCGTTGTCGTGCTCATGCAGAAGCTCTCATTCTGTCTGCTAGCACCCAGATGGCTACTCAGGTACAAGGGGGGAAGGAGCAAGCAGAAGGGAGACAGCTAACTTTGGAAGACTCTGTCACTGAGTTTCAAAATCGCACCCACCAGTTGCAAGTCACCCTGGGCTCTGCTCAAAGGCTTGTGCATGACTTCTTGAAGTCTTACCAAGGTAGTGAAAGCTTGATGGGAGAGTTTGACTCAGCATCAGGCGCAATATTGAGTTTCATCACGACCCAAAAACAAAGGCTTTCAACCCCGACCCAACCACAATCAATCTTAAGCTTGAGGGACTCAATGGAAATATCTAAGTTGAGCTCGGAGATGGCAGGGCCTATACAGACCTTTGTCCATATCATCGCGTCGCACTCAGCAGGCTTTAGCATAGCCTTGGGCCGGTTCAATGAGCTCATAGCCATTATGAATTCATATATAGATACGGCGAACACAAGAGATATGGCGGGGCCCGATAGCATGGCGGAGGCGCAGAACTTGACGGACGGAGAAAACTTGACGGGCGGGGAAAAATTGAAGGAGGCGGATCACCAGGAGATGGTAGAACTGTGGGAAGCACTTAACATCATGAGGTCAAAAGCGGTTGCGAAATTTGTCTGCAACCTTACCAGATACTGCGAGGCTGCACTCACTCCAGAGGATGAGAGAAGTATTTGACGCATGTCCCATTGAAACACTTGCAGTGAGCTTTTGTGTGACCAACTCAGGAGCAGAGTGAATGTCTGGGTCCTTGGGAAGTTCTGCCCAGGCAGAATTCAGTGAAGAGACACAGCTTCCGGATCCCTTCATAGGCACAGAAAAAGGTGAACAGATCAGATGAGGAATGCCAAAGTTTTGATGCAAAGAATCACATGGATGACTCTACAGCATGCCCATGAAAATCTGACCGGTTGGTGTGTGCGCTTGAAGAAGAAGAACCTGCCGATTTCGGGCAAAGCGCCACATTGATTGTGATTGTAGTCTTCAACGCAACTCTGTACTACATTGTAATCGTACTCGTCTTACAGTACATTCGAACATGTCTTATCTCGTGCCTGACTCTACGATCGAGTCACCCCTCTCTCTTTGTCTCTTTCACGTGTAACCCTCCTTTTGTCGCTGAAACCCTTGCAAAAGAGACCGCCCTGACGGCATGGCACATCACGCCAACAAGGATGATCCCGGTAGACCAAAGAAGACAGAGGATGGGAGGAGGTGGTTGATTGAGATGGGAAAGGGGGAAAGGGGAAGGGGGATGGAGAAGACAAGTGGGGCCTGAACCGTGCGGAGGATGAATGAAGTCTTTCCGGGCTCAGAATATTTTTGACCTCTTGAAGACAACCTCTTTTGTTCTGCATCATTCTGAGAGGAAAGGTTGGAGGTATCACATTGAGATAAATAGCTGCTTTGAAGAGTGTATGGGCAACATCAACATCTCCCACTTTGTTACGACCTGGTAAGCCAGCTTGTAACACCAAGTCCCATGATCTCTGAACAATCCACCTGAAGCCCTTCAACCCAATTACGCCTCATAGCTCCTACAAACCACGAGTAACTTCGTCACCAACCGACAACCACCGATATCATTCGATAACCTTTGCTCACCAGTGATATCCTTAGACAAGCACTGACAACCTACGACCGTCTCTCAACGCATAGCAAAGCACTGCGGTGCAACACATGTACTTGCACCGCAATGCATGCAGACCTCCGACCAGACTCGATGGATCTCAGAGCATAGCAATGCAGTGCATAGGGAAGAGCCGAATGTATCGTAGCAGAGCAATGATAAGCATAGGAAGGCGCTAGAAATCCGGTGGCCTGCGGAGCAGGCCTCCTGGGACCCTCTGTAGACTATTTAAACCCTACATCTTCTTTCCATAGTTTCTTTTCTTCAGAGATCAATTATCATACGTTTTCACCCTTTACTGACCAAGTCTTCGATACTGACTTCGACTTCAACTTGTCCTTCAACATTGGCCCCAAGCCTTAATCTGTTCAACACCTTGGGCCCAATATCATCATCAGACATCCTCTTGTCATCATCCTAGACTCTCTCATTGCCAGTAAGTAATCTCGTCCAGTGTATCAAAGTTCCACTCTCTCTCTCTCTTCATCCTTCTACATCACTTCATCCTCACTCTTCTCTCTTCATCACTCGTCCACCTGCTGTCTTTCCCTTAAGACAACCAGGCTTAACACACTTCTAACACTTCGAATATTTTATTCACAATGTCTGCACCTTGTCACAATCGTTGTCTCTTCTGCTCTACTGACCGACGATCGACAAACCTCGGCTAACTACGTCGTAGTGGGGCGTCGATGTCTCACTAGGACAGGGTACTCGTTGGGGAACTACGGCTAACTTCATCGTAGTGATACGTCGAGTGGTAAATGAATAGGATGATCGTTGATGAACCGCGGCTAACTTCGCCGTGGTGCGTCGAAATGCTCGATGGTAGCTCTCCTTATCTCGACGGTTGTAGCTACTGAATATATCACTCGCTACTGACAACAATCAAGGATCGCTGAAGAAGTTCAGCGATCTGTAAACTATCTATACTCCCCCTCTCTTCTCATAGAACGTCCCTCAACTCCTGCACAGCCTTGCGCTCAGTCCTCTTTGCTCAACTTCGCCGTACCTCGCCATATCCCCGATGTCCTACTCCTCTCACTTCGACTAACTTCACCTAACTTCCTTTGTTCTGGTCTCCCTCGGTTCCCTTCCCCTAACTTCGCCGTAGTTCTCCGCTTGACGGGGTTATCGTGACAAATACCCTCTTGGTTCTCGTAACTTCGCCGTAGTTGGTCTCAGTGGTTCGAGTGGAAGTCGGTGATGGTGAAAGGAAGGTCGGTGATGGTGAAAGGAGGATCGGTGATGGTGGTTGTCAGGGATGTTACAACGTAGTTCGTGACACACCTGAACACTCAAGTCTGCCTGTTGGTGAGTGGACTTGAATTGGACTTCTCCTCTATCATATTGTGTATCAGTTTTTGACATTCAGACTCAAACCTCATGGAATTCAAGGGCTTGGACGCCATCCTTAAGCTTATCCACAGGCTAGACAACGCTAAACTGGTCATGACGCCTGCCTTCTCAGAAAGCTTTCTGCAAGGGCAGAGTAATGATGGCAACCGGGTCAAACTTTACCTTCCCAATCAAGACCAGCTCCAAGAATCACTTGGCAACATGCCACTGAACTTTGTACTGGTCAACGGAGAGCACAATGCTCTATCCTTTCCCCAGTGGCCTGCAACCCCAGACATCAGTGAGTTGAGGGTCAGATGGCCTTCTCCACTAGTCATATCATTGTTTACCTTAGCTGCTTGAGCATGACATAACCTGAACACTGACACTTTGTCACACCTTTTCTAATTTTTTGTGAAAGCTGACAACAGTCCCTCTTGAAAACATCTCAGGGCGGTGGACCACTCAGATGAGCTACGAGATACATGGAACTCGGGAAAATGGTTCAGAGAAGACCATCCTGCTCCCCTTCACTATCCATATGCACACCATGGGGCTACCACTGCCACACTCTAGTCCTCCTCAAGTCTCACGGTCTAGGTCATCCAAGTTGTAATTGAACGATATAGAAATGCATAAAGACATGAACAAACAAACAAAGAGAAAAGTTTCAACACCCATAGCTCATTCGATCCCTCCAACACTCCCACCAAGCTATTGCTGTTGAACATAAACTACACAGGTACTCTCACTGCTAGCAGGAAATAGCGATAGACCAAGCATTTCTGTGAACCGAGTGAACAAAGTTGGTGATAGGGGTTTTGTGAGTCCATCAGCAAGTATTGCAGCAGTTTTGACATACTCAATGTTGATGATTGATCATTCAACTAGTTCACGAAGATAATGAAACCAAATATCAATCTGTTTTGCTCGAGAGTGACCAATTGGATTTCGAGCGATGGCAATTGATGCTTGATTATCCCCATAGAGCTTGTGTCACAAACTACGTCGTGACACCTCGATTATTCCACCAACAATGACCCTCCTTTGACCATCGAAACCCCCATCACGCCTTAACCTTTTTTACTCTACACGTAACTCAGGACATCTGAGACCAAGTACGGCGAAGTTAGACGGCGTTAGGCTAAGTAGGGACAATGGGAGCAGAAGCACGGTGAAGTTAGACGGAGTTAGACTAGGTAGGGACAAAGGGAGCAGAAGTGCGGCGATGTTAGGCGGCGTTAGTCGAAGGAGGAAGAGGATGGCCGGGGACTCGGGGAAGTTGGACAAAGTGCATTGAAGTATGTCAAAGCGCGAGAGGGTTGGATGAATGTCTAGGAGGAATAGATAATATTAGCTGAGAAGATTGCTGAAGTTCTTCAGCGATCCTTGATTGTTGTCAGTAGTGAAAGACAGATAGAGATAGCTATATACACAGATCGAGATACATCACCATCAGTAGAACAAAACCCCAGTTAGAGTAACTACGCCGAAGTACGCTGTAGTTACACTCCTTTCAACGTCTGCGCCCTCCTGGTTGGGTGAGACATCAACTTAGAAGCGTCAAGTTAGCTGAGGTTCGTCGACCGTTGGTTTGTTAGAAGATAGTTGTTCGACGGCTGTGACAGCTTGATTGCTTTCTTGGGAGCAAACCCAAGTTCTGACAAGAGCAAACAAAGCCACATTGCTTCTCAAGCGGCTTGAGCGAGTCCCACATATTCAGCATCTCCTGTTGCAAGAGCAACAGAAGGCTGAAGCTTTGACTGCCAACTAATGGTCCCACCCCAGAGTCGAAACACATAACCACTTGTACATTGACGTCGCTCGGTATCGCTCCTGGCAAAATCTGCATCACTGAATCCATCCAGTTCGCTCCCACTGTTTGCATATCGTATACCAACCGTTCGGGTTTGTTTGAGATAGTGTGAGACAGAGAGGACTGCTTCCCAATGAGTGATAGATGGGTTGCTTGAGAACCAACCAAGCAAACCAACCACATATGCAAGGTCTGGTTGTGTTATGACCAGGTCATAACACCTCATCACAACAAGTCATGTGACCCCACACCCCCCATTGTGGAATTGTGCTAGTCATGTGACTCCACACACCTCATTGTGGAGTTGTGCAAGTCATGTGACTCCACACACCACATTGTGGATTGTGGGAATCAGTGTGAAAACATGTAATTCTGAAAGGTATATAAAGGCGGCGGAATGGGTATCTACTTTAACGACGAAAACTATCTCAAAACACCTCACTTTTCCTCATTACCTCTCCGCTCTCCCCAAAGTCATCTTTGACCATAGACAGTGCAAGATCATCCTACGGGTGGCACTCCATCTATCATCAAGCCTGACTTTGGGTCTTCACTTTCAAGTCCCACCTTCCTTTGTATATAGTTCCAACTACTAGACACTCTTATACTTGATCTATATTTATTACCTCCTTCCTACTCGATACATCTTCTGTCGACCTTTGCACCAGCACTACGGTCTACTCCCGCCAGTCGTAGACCAAGCTTGCTGTAAACTTCTGCTGTCCACCCTGTCTCCACATCCCGACAACCTTTCGCTGGGGACAGGTCTTAACAGGTTGAGTTCCAAGCATGACATACATGAGCGAACCAATAGATGTCAAATATCGAGCTCGATTGGTTGTGGGTTCTTCAGGTAGCCAAGCATTGTCACAAAGTGACAAGACAGTTTGGTTAGAGTTGGATGGGTTGGGTATTTAACCAGTGACCGACGGTGACGCTTAACCGCCGGTCAATAGGCCTTTTAGCACAGTGGTTTAGACCACTGTCTCTGAAGGGCACTGTTATATTGTCCCAATGCTGGTTAGTTGGTCTTGTGACAAGCATGTAGGATTGTATTTTCTTTCATAGGTGTATCTCTCAGTTTGCAATTTTGCATGTCAAATTGTGTGAGGATGGTGTCAATGTATTGAGTTTGACATAGATTGAGCTGGGGCTTCGATCGATCGCGCTTGACTTGTAAACCAAGGATAAAGTGCAGCTCACCAAGATCTTTCATGTCATATCGCTTTGACATTTCATTCTTGAAGAACTCGAGCGTGCTCGAGCGAGATGCAGCAACGGTGAGGTCATCCACATACACTCCAACAATAATCAGATCATCAAACTGACCTCAAACATAAATCGAGTGATCGGACATTGTTCAAATGAACCCGAGTGAGCAAAGTGTTGAGTCGAGTTCGCGGTACCAAGCTCGAGGTGCCTGCTGGAGTCCATAGAGGGATTTGTCTAGTTTCCAGACCATCTTCTCATCTTGAGCAAACCCTTCCGGCTGTTCCGTGTAGACTACTTCATCAAGCGAACCATAGAGAAAGGTAGTTTTTACATCCATCTGATGAAGTTTGAGATCATGCATGGCAGCGAGTGCAAGGATTGTTCGAATGGATTGAAACTTGGCAACAGGAGCAAATGTCTCATCATAATCAATACCTGGTTGTTGAGTAAAACCTTGAGCGACTAGTTGAGCCTTGAACCGATCGATGTCACCATTGGCAAATCTCTTGACCCTAAAAACCCATTTACAAGTTACGATCCTGCCTTGAGCGGCCGAGCAAGGTACTAGGTGATAGACACCTGCCTTTTCCAGTGACTTCATCTCGTCCTGAGCTGCTATTTTCCACTGCATTGAATTGCTTGGTCGAATTGCTTCATCCCATGAGCGAGGTTCATTAACCGAGATGTGAGCTGCAAAGCCTGCAAGAGAGTATGCTGAGAGGGAAATCGGCCATTGAGGGAGTCGAGCGTCCGAAGGGGAAAAGTCTTGTTCACCTGGTCAACCAAGGAAGTCGTTTAACTCAATTTCATACTCTGGGTACTGGGAGATAAGACCAAATGTTTGACCCGAGCGAGTTTGCATTTGTTTGGGTTGTTGTTCCTCCAGCTCAGGTGAGGGAGCATGCTCTCGAGCAAAGCGAGGATCTTCCTCATATTGCCATCCTGGATATCAAACGAGTTCGTTCGATTGATCCTGATTGTCCTGCTCTACTTTGTTTTGCCCTTCATTTCCCTGTCCTCCTGCTCCCACCAGTTCTTTATCCCCCACCCCTTCTTCATCTCCGATCACTTCTTCATCTCCGATCACTTCTTCATCTCCCACCACTTCTCCATCTCCCACCACTTCAAACACATTGACCAGGGTCGAGATGCTTGAAGTACTCGTTTGAGAAGTGGGTGTGAGTTTGATCGATCTAGTTCTGGCACCAAGCTGTGTGTCCAGTAGAAAGAGCTTATTCAACACAGCGAGCGAAGGAGATGAGGGAAGCATTCTCTGCGGTGAGATAGATTCATCAAAGATGACATCGCGCGAGATGATCTCCGTTCAAGCGAGTGGATCCCAGAGTCTGTACGCCTTCTGAGTAAGAGCATACCCAAGGAGACAGCACAAAGTCACACGAGGTTGAAGCTTACTATCTCGAGCCCCTTTCCGAACGAGTGCTCAAGCCGCACATCCAACAACTCTGAGTTTGGATAAGTTAGGCTTGATATGAGCGAACATCTCGAGTGGGGTCTTGTCTTTGATCAAGCAAGATGGTGATCGATTCTTGAGATACACAACAGTTGCCATGATATCTGCCCATAGAGTGACAGGAAGTTTCTCTGAAAGGAGGAGTGCAATTGTTTGTTCAACAATAGTCCAATTCGCTCGCTCAGTGTCACGAACCACGTCGTAACATCCCTGACAACCACCATCACCGACCCTCCTTTCACCATCACCGACCACCACCCGAACCACTCAGACCGACTACGGCGAAGTTATGAGATCCTGGAGGGTATTAGTCACGACAACCCCGTCGAGCGGAGAACTACGGCGAAGTTAGGGGAAGGGAACCGAGGGAGAGCAGAATAGGTGAAGTTAGTCGAAGTGAGCGGAGTAGGATATCGGGGATATGGCGAGGTACGGCGAAGTTGAGCAAAGAGGACTGAGCGCGAGGCTGTGCAGGAGTTGAGGGATGTTCTATGAGAAGAGAGGAGAAGTATAGATAGTTTACAGATCGCTGAACTTCTTCAGCGATCCTTGATTGTTGTCAGTAGCGAGTGATATATTCAGTAGCTACAACCATCAAGTTAAGGAGAGCTACCATTGAGCAGTTTGACGTACTACGGCGAACTTAGGCGCAGTTCATCGACGATCACCTGATCACTTACGCTTGGAGGGGTTACTGCGGCTAATTTAGCCGTGGTTCCCCGACCATTGCCGTGGTCTGGTGAGACATCGAGGCCCCACTACGACGTTGGTAGCCGAGGGGGTCGGTGATGGTGGTTGTCAGGGGATGTTACGACGTGGTTCGTGCCACTGGGCGAGCG